CACTTCAGAGCTCCCGTACCTCCACTGCTGTAGCAGACGGGATACAAGTCCCCATCCCGCTTTCCAGTCAGCACCAAGTGGTTCTGTACGTATACTTTCACCTGTCCGCCGCCGAAGACCACACTGCCTCCACGATCATCAATGATGCGGACCGATAGGATTTTGGCGGTGGCCTCCTCGTCTACGTAGACCTTCTTAAAAGTAATGGCCTGTTTATCGTTGACGTTAGACCGAATTGTAAGCGTGCCAACTTCAGTCGGCCGAAGAGACTGTCCCTTGATGCCCATGATGTTGAAGCGCTCCCATGACTCCAACAACCGCACGTTGAAAAGTTCTGAGCGGTCATACGTTATGTGGTGAGTGGCGGCTGAGTCCAGAAACCATTCCGTCGGACGATTGCTGTTGTATGCCACGAATGCTACCTGCCGCGGAACTCCTGGCCCCCTAGCTGATCCACCGGATCCTGGCTTGCTGCCGCTAGCTCCGCTGCCACTACCTCCGTTACCACTGTGGTTGTACCCTCCCTTATAGCCAGAATTTGACGACTGCTTCAGCGCTTTAAGCTGCCTGCAGTCCTTTACCACGTGCCCAGGTTTATTACAGTAGTAGCAGATGAGCTGTTTCCGACTGTGTCCCGAGCTGTTGTTAGCCGGCCCCCGGCTACCATAACCAGAAGTAGAAGCGCCGAACGTCGAACCGCCGACATCCGCGAAGGCTGCCGACTCGGTAGGCTTGCCCGACCCACCGTTAGCCGTCTCAATAGAGAGAAGCTTTGCTGTGACGCTCGCCATGTCCAAATCGCCGTCGCGCATTAGTAATGTAGTCGTCACCACGCTGTACCGACTGGGTAGACCAATTAGGACGGTGTACGCCAGCTCGGAATCGTTAACTACGTGGCCGACTCCCAATAAATCTGTTTGCAGCTGCCTTGCACGCGCAAAGTACATCGGAAGAGGTTCGCCGTCGACCATCTTAAAACGGCTGAATTCTTGACGTAGAGACACCTTGCGGGCGTTGTTGTTGGCAGCAAACATAGATCCCAAGGCGTCCCAGGCCTTCTTCGCGTTGGCAGCACCGGTAACCATCGGCAAATGATGATCCTTGACGTTCTTGATGAGCAGATTGATGACCTTCCGTGATTGTCGAATCTGCTCCTCGTTGCACGGCTCGGCGAGCAGGGATTGCTCAAGCCCAAGCTCCATGCACATCACGCTAAACCTGATTTGCCAGGTGGAGTAGTTGTAGAGGTCCAGCTGCTCATCAAGCTTATCCTTGACCATTGTCGATAAGGGATAGAAATAACAATCGGACGATAGCTGTCGGCGCTACTCGGGGCTCATAACCTATTGAAGAATTGGCGACGGTGACGGCTAACGCTGATTGTTGATGTTGTTACAGGGTGGTTAAGCTTCACCAGTGGCCTCCTTCCCGAGGCAGTTCCCTGCTCTCCCCTGCTAGAGGGGCACCCTAAGCCATTCACCCCATCCGACTTCAGAGTGTACTCTTTGAGTTTGGCAACTCACCACCAGCATCCAACCAAATCTAGCGGATCAACGGCGCGTCAACTTAGTTCCTGGTCAGCTCGCGAGTTGATTTTATCACGTCCTACACCGTCCACAAGATGGGGGGCCACCTCCCATTTCATCACCTCTCAAACACCCCGAGAGGTCGGCAGGCGGATTTGAACCCGGACGCGCCGGGACGCGACGGGAGCAGAAGCCAGGCCTTAACTTCTGCCAGCCGCCTGCCGTTGTTGCTGATTGTTATTCCGGAAGGATTGCCGGTGGCGAAGATATTTAGCACGATAAACTGTTACAAGTAATGTAAAGAGTATTATTAGCGTTCGGCAGGAATCTCCTATGAGGAATACCGATCGTAGTGAGATAAACAAATAAGCGCAGTCACCGCCCTAAATACCGGCGCTAGCGGAAAACTCGTACATTCCACGATCTAACTGCACGTACATTCCGCGATCTCACTGCGCCGTCCTGACGGTGCCCTAATGTCTATCACTTAGCTACCGGATATGCATCGGTAGCCCATAAGGTTCTGGGGTAAGCCTTCCCCATTAGTCAGGCGCAGACCCGGGGTCAAATCCCCTGGTTGACAACCACACGAGTTGGGAGAGGACCGTTTCCTCAACAGATAGTACTAGATTTGGGTTGGATAGTGTCCAGTATTAGTTGGACCAAGTCGAGATCTGCAGTCAAGCTGTATTTTGAAGGGCTATAGCCGCGTCTTCGGGCTGTGCTACGTAGTTATTGATGAATCAAAGGAATCCAGTATAAAGAATGACAAGGCGATCAGAGGCTTGCATCCTGGTCCAGACGTCCCCCCTGAAGTTCTCCGTTCTCGGAACAAGCTTTTTAACAAGCTACGTAACCCTGTAGACGGGTTGTCTTTGGGACAACTTCGATGTGGAGTGGTGGGGTAGTCTGCTAGTAGTGGGGTAGTCTGCTAGTCTGCTTGTTCTGTGATGAGCCGCTCAGCGCCGCGAACCCATCCTTTACCAACGCGCACCAGATCAAGCAAGGTGCTTGCAAGGCTATCAAACAGCGTGCAGCGTCACTCAGCCAGCAACAGCAACAGAGTGGAACCAGCTCTGCTGCAGCGGGCCCCAGCACGGCGGATCAGCAGGCCCTCTCCAAGCGCCGGCGCGGCATTGATGGCCAGACCCTCCTCCCAGTGATTCCCGCGACTCTCGCGGGGCAAGTCTTCACTAGTATGGCGTCCGTGTGTTGTCTTGTCAACACTGGGTCTTCTATCTGTGATTATGTCTTTATGTGCCATAACACGCCTTGAGACATGGGGTTTGGGGTCCACCTACCGGGCACTGAACTAACAAAAAGTGATCTGGATGACCACAGCGATCTGAGTAGATAAAGGTTTTAGGGTTTTATATAGCCTAAGTAGATATTTAGAAAGAACAAAAGAAGACCTTTCCAACGGTGTAACGTTCAGGTACAACGGTTGGTCGTACACCCCCCTTCTACAGGGAGCGTGTACCTGCCTAGTAATAGTATCATAGTACTACATTACTATTGGGGTAAATAAATATAGTATTTTTGCCAACCCTACTCCCATGGCTCCAACAACCGCACGCTGAGAAGTTCTGAGCGGTCATACGTTATGTGGTGAGTGGCGGCTGAATCCTGGAACCACCCCTGCGGACGCTCACCATTGTACGCTGTGAACGCAACCTGCCGCGGGAATCCTGATCCCTTTCCAGGCCCACCGGGCCCAGGCTTGCTGCCGCTAACTCTGCTGCCACCATCACCCTTACCTTGTCCACTGCCAGAAATGGACAACTGCTTTAGTGCCTTCAACTTCCTGCAGTCCTTAATATCGTGCCCGGGCTTTTTGCAATAGTGACAAAACAAATGTTTGGGGGGACCGCCAGAACTGCTGCTGGCCGCGCCGTGATTCCTAAGACCAGAACCAGAGGCGCCAAACGTGAGACCGCCGACAGAAGCAAAAGCTGCCGACTCGGTAGGCCTACTAGACCCACCGCTTGCCACCTCGATAGCCAAAAGCTTGGAGGTGACGCTCGCCATGTCCAAATCGCCGTCACGCACCAGCAGGGACGTCGTTACCACGTTAAAGCGGCTGGGTAGACCAACCAGCACTGTGTACGCCAGCTCCGAGTCGCTGATAACGTGCCCCACTCCCAACAAGTCTGACTGTAATTACCGCGCACGTGCAAAGTACTTGGGTAGCGGCTCGCCGTCGACCATCTTGAAACGGTTGAACTCTTGACAGAGAGCTACCTTGCGTGCGTTGTTGTTGGCGGCCTGACATTTCGTATGCATTGATCGTTTTGTCCCGGCATATGGCCATGTTGAAGGGCGGTCCTATCCCAACATAAATAGGTGGTAGATAGGCGATGAATCCGCCGTGATAGGGTATGCCTCCGACTTGCCTCGACCATGCCTCGGCCCTGCCTCGACCTTGCCTCGGGTCTCTGGGCTGCCTCGACCTTGCCTCGGGTCTCTCGGCCGCGTATCTCGGACGTGTCCTCAGGTCCAGGGATGGTGGACGACTGTACGATACTTCCGTTGGTATCGGTACATAAGACCAAAGTGGTGCATGTCTTTCTATCTCATCTTCGGATGGATCGGTATTCCTTCATAGGAATCTCCTAAAGTCTTCTTGCCGTTCACCATTAACCCACAGACTGTAACCCTTATATCGCGACCAGTCTCCTTGCCTTCATATTCTTAACAGCCTCGGCCCTGCCTCGACCTTGCCTAGGGTCTCTCGGCCGCGTATCTAGGACGTGTCCTCGTGTCCAGGATAGATGGTGGGCGACTGTACGATACTTCCATTGGTACTGGTATATAAGACACAAGTTATGCAAGTCTTGGTATCTCATCTTAGGATGGATCGGTATTCATTAACAGGTATCTCCTAAAGTCTTCTTGCCGTTCACCACTAACCCACAGACTGTAACCCATATCTGGTCTGGTCTGGTCTGGTCTGGTCTGGTCTGGTCTGGTCTGGTCTGGTCTGGTCTGGTCTGGTCTGGTCTGGTCTGGTCTGGTCTGGTCTGGTCTGGTCTGGTCTGGGTTGACACTACTGCAATTAGCGGTTTAAGGTCCTGGGTTCGATTCCTGGGGAGACCCCCGAATTAGTCGGGAGCGCGAGATTATGGCTAGCTGCTGAGATGTGGAGTTGAGGTCACAGTTGATGGACCAGATTCGCACGCTGGATTGGTGGCGATTGCCGAACCCTCCGTCTCTTCGGGTGTTCGGGTGAATGGATGAGGAGGGGTCCCTGAAGGCTGGATCCGCCGCCTTGGACTTACAGTTCGTATGGCGAAGTACAGTGTGGTAGTGGTGGATGGTGCTATAAGGTGATAAATGATCTAGAACTGACAATGTGATAAAGCGGCCCAGAAGCTTCCCACTCTGTAACATTACAAATACAAATTAGTAACCCATATATCACGACCAGTCTCCTTGCCTTCATATTCTTAACACATGCAGGTCCGACTGCTACTCTCAGGGCTGCTTTATTTCCTTAATGCTCCGAATCTCCGAAGGGACGAACAGTTGTTTTACAGGGACTGTGAATGGCTGGCCATCAGCAGTCTCAACCAGCGCCAGAGTACTGAGGGCATTCCAGTACTTGAAGAAAAATGGGCCCTCCCTGTCGGTCCCGAGCTTGTGTGAATGCCGAGTCCATCGGTACACCTTGGTGTTTTCCGCCAGGTCAGGTGCGTGCTCCAGCGAACTTGCATTATCCACCTTGATAGGACTTTTACGTTTCTGTGCGGCCGCTGGCTGGGGTTCCAACGAAACTGGCCCACCAGTTGCGCGATCCGTTTGAGCAATCAGTGTGACCAGTGGGTCTGCCTCCTCCTTATTGACGGGCCGCAACATAGGGTTACCGTGTCGTTTAGCATAGTCTCGCTGCTCTCGACTTTGAGCGTTTTTCAGGTTTTCCGCAACTTGATCAGCCACCAGCTCTAGTTGTGAACGTCGGTGCTGCAGAGCCGCATAGTCTTCTACACATACCTCCGCCGGTTCCTTTGACGGTAGTGTTGGATTCAGGACGGTACCGGTGCTGCGTTCAGCCGCCATTGTAAGCTCTTTGCTGAAAACACCGTGAAAAGGAGTAGGTGACGGGGTCAATCCCTGAGTAGGAATACGGTCGGCCATAGGGCGACCTGAGGTGGCCCGGGGGTGAATGATGGCTGGACCTCCAGCCAGTCATTGATCAGCAGGACAGGGTTTGTCCAGGGCGGGCAGGGATAGGGAAAATTGCACCCCCTTGGCTGGCGTATCACCAGGGCCAGTAGACAGGTGACGCTTTGTAGAATGTTGAGCTGGGTTGCTATTATGAAGTGGGCTAAACCATGGCCTAGCCGGTACAGACAATGATGGATCTAGACACGTAGTGTGCCAGCCCAGACAGCAGGAAGGCTCATCGCAGAGCAGAAGAGTGGACGTCGGCCGCCCTCGTAGACAGACCGAACAGATCATTCCGGGGTCATCATCAGTATCGGTGCTTTCAGAAGCAGGTGGCTCCGCGTAACCTGCTTAACATGGATTGACAGCGTGACGGCGACGGTGTTGCCGTGCGTGTTGTACTGCAGGTATCTTATCTGGTGCTCAGATGTCAGACGAGCTGACCTATCCAAGTGTCGCTTGCCAAGCGGGGCCAGGGGTCTGGTTGCTTCTTGGTTGTGCTCTGGCGCTCACGGGGGGGTGTTGGAAATGACCGACACTCATATACCAGTGAATGGTAGCCACAGTAATAGGACCCAACGGGGGTCCGGCGCTTTGCTGGTCTTAACAATTCCGAATTCGGAATAAAAAATTGTTCGCGGTCCTGAAAATTAAGAATAAATAATGTTCCGACCGTACGAGTTCATTCCTCCAGCCAAAAATGGACTGTTTATGCCAAAGCCGCTAGAATCTTACAGGGGACCTACATGTTAACCATATCATAGTACTTTAATGCCATGGATACTGCTAGGAAGCTCACGCCCGAAAGTCAACGAGGAATCGGACTGTTTCTGACCGGATCAAACGCTGCAAAATATTCGGACCCGAAGCTCCTAAAACGTGGAAGGCCATGAAAGAAGATATTAAACTTCACTGAAGCGATTAGCGTCGTTAATGAAGACGGCCTAGAGGTCGTAGGCAATGTTGACCGTTCGTTTCAGGTGAGGGTCGGCGCTTGAAGTGGACCCTTGAACAGGCCCTGAGCTCCCAGGCACCCAAAAGCATGCAGCAGACCTGCAGGCTGGTTATGTTCATTGCTAGACATTTAAGGGTACAGTCATGAGTGATTTGCCTTAGAGCTGCGTTGAGACTTGGCACGGCTTCATAAAAAGCAGCACTGGGGTTTCATTCGGGTGAAGTTTCACGTGTACGTCCAGATATGGACCGAGCACCCTATCTTTGCACCGAGTCTTTGCCAAAGTGGTCTTCGGCCTCTGTGCTAGGAGGCTGGCAAAGACTTGTAGCCTCCTCTCTGAAAGTGTCTATTTAGCTTATCAAATTGCACACAGACAGCCGCATTGCGCTGATATCACGATATGCAGTGCCTTGCCGCCCTTCGTTCCAGCAAGCGCTCGCTGTTTGCGCAAGTAAGAGCTAGCAACCAATCCTATATCGGCCAAACAAGCAAATGGCGCAAACACTGAATTGTTAAGCGCGATCTTTCGTACAAGCACGGCGTGTAACGTGCCCATATATAATCTCACCAAAACCTCACCTGCCATGGGACTGCGGCTCTGATAAAGCCCTAAACCCTTTAAACTTCTGCCGGACTGGCACACATGACTCCAAAGCCGAGGCTCACCCTCACCCTCATGACTTGTTCATTATTTACACTTGGAACTAAAACATAGGACCTACATGCAATATTGCAACATCTCCCTTACTTTGAACGCACAGACGAAGGTTTTCCAGCGGCGAAACCGAAACCGTGGCGACCTGACAAAGGACAGTTTAGTAAGCTGCTGCTGTTCCTTTAAAAACACCGCCGCTAACCGATTCGTAGACGCCACTTCTAAACCAAGTCGGCACCTCCATATGCGCAGCATTAAACCATTAAACCAGCCATCCTGGTTCGCAATTTGTGTACGATGCCTGTAGTGGGCAGTTCCGTACACAAGTTTTCACTCACTAGTATAACTTTTGGCTCCCGAAGTGTTGTGGAAGCATCTCCTCCGCCTGGAACGTTGGGTTTGAAGCCAAGTGGTTTGTTTCGTTACATACATTTCCTTGTTACATATCACGGATAAAATGGCAACCGTACGCCTCCTCTTGTTGATGTTGTTACAGGGTGGTTAAGCTTCACCAGTGGCCTCCTTCCCGAGGCAGTTCCATGCTCTCCCCTGCTAGAGGGGCACCCTAAGCCATTCACCCCACCCGACTTCAGAGTGTACTCTTTGAGTTTGGCAACTTGTTAAGACCAGCAAAGCGCCGGACCCCCGTTGGGTCCTATTACTGTGGCTACCATTCACTGGTATATGAGTGTCGGTCATTTCCAACACCCCCCCGTGAGCGACACTCTCTCGCTCCGGGCCTTCCCGTGCCTCATCCCGGTCTCCCATTCTCTGGGCAACAGCCAGTGGGTATCGATCCGGCGACCTCTCGGCAGCGCAATGCGCCATTCGGGGCTCATAACCTGTTAAGACCAGCAAAGCGCCGGACCCCCGTTGGGTCCTATTATTGTGGCTACCATTCACTGGTATATGAGTGTCGGTCATTTCCAACACAACTCACCATCAGCATCCAACCAAATCTAGCGGATCAACGGCGCGTCAACTTAGTTCCTGGTCAGCTCGCAAGTTGATTTTATCACGTCCTACACCGTCCACAAGATGGGCCACCTCCCATTTCATCACCTCTCAAACACCCCGAGAGGTCGGCAGGCGGAATTTGAACCCGGACGCGCCGGGACGCGCCGGGAGCAGAAGCCAGGCCTTAACCTCTGCCAGCCGCCTGCCTTGTTGCTGGTCCTCGCGTTTCTGTGCCAAGAAGGTGAGGCAATCTCAGTTTCATAATCATGTACGTGCACCTCCGGGGAACAATGTTTTGTGGAGCAGCATCTTTGTGTGGCGACGTAGATATGCTGACGGCCTTAGGAAATCGACTTGGAGCTTCGTCAGGTCGTCTAGTAGCGGTGCTGGCATTGAACGTGTCTTTGGGGATCGCATCCCTCTGCACAGGTGCCCTGGCTGCAAACGTAACAAGCAGCAAGCCGCCGCTGCCGTCAAACAAGCAGCCGCTTTCGCCGCCGCCGTCAAACCTGCCATCAAATAAGCAGCCGATTTCGCCGCCGCCGTCGACCCAGCCGTCAAGCAAGCAGCCGGTTTCGCCCCCGCCGTCGACCCAGCCGTCAAAGAAGCAGCCGCTTTCGCCCCCCCCGTCGACCCAGCCGTCAAGCAAGCAGCCGGTTTCGCCCCCCCCCCGTCGACCCAGCCGTCAAACAAGCAGCCGCTTTCGCCCCCCCCGTCGACCCAGCCGTCAAGCAAGCAGCCGGTTTCGCCCCCCGCCGTCGACCCAGCCGTCAAAGAAGCAGCCGATTTCGCCCCCCCCGTCGACCCAGCCGTCAAACAAGCAGCCGGTTTCGCCCCCCCCGTCGACACTGCCGTCAAACAAGCAGCCGATTTCGCCCCCCCCGTCGACCCAGCCGTCAAACAAGCAGCCGGTTTCGCCCCCCCCCCGTCGACACTGCCGTCAAACAAGCAGCCGCTTTCGCCCCCCCCGTCGACCCAGCCGTCAAGCAAGCAGCCGGTTTCGCCCCTGCCGTCGACCCAGCCGTCAAAGATGCAGCCGATTTCGCCGCCGCCGTCGACCCAGCCGTCAAACAAGCAGCCGGTTTCGCCCCCCCCGTCGACACTGCCGTCAAACAAACAGCCGCTTTCGCCCCCCCCGTCGACCCAGCCGTCAAGCAAGCAGCCGGTCTCGCCCCCGCCGTCGACCCAGCCGTCAAAGATGCAGCCGCTTTCGCCCCCCCCGGCGTCCAAGCAACCAGCCGCCAGTGCGTCCCCCGCCACCGGCACCGGCGGGCAAGCAGCCGCTTCCATCTCCCCCATCACCTCCATTAACGAATAAGGCGCCGCCGCCGGCCCCCAAGAAGTGAGCAGAACGGTAATAAGGGTTCTACCGTTGGTTGTTAGGGATTTACTGTTTGTACGGCACTCCGGTAGCTGATTATGCTTTTGCTTGCACCGATCCTGGTGGCCTGCTGGTAGCTGCTGGACCGCGAGGCTAGCGGGGCGGCATGGGCGGTAGTAGTACTGGGGCCCATGACGATGCAGGGAGAGCTATGTATGTATGTGCGCGTGTGTGATATGGCTAGTAAGGGTATTGCGGGGTTGTACGAAAACCCAGACATGTGTATCAATATCCCAGTGACACCAGATGCCTCTAATCGAGTACGTGCATGTGCATCTTGACTTGGTCGTGTTATTATTTGTGGTTTTCGTGCGTGGGTGTAGATATCGACTGCTGATTGTTGAGGTTTTGGGTTGTGGTTCATTTGTAGGGCTTTGGACTTTGTTTCTAATCGTAAAGTTGAATTAGGTAAAAGATGCACCGTGATGTGTGCAGGTTTTATGTGGAGCTGTTGTTGCTCGCTTTACACGTGCATGGATTGTTTTTATGGCTTTAGCGTAGCCTACGGTATTGAAGAATTGGCGACGGTGACAGCTAACGCTAATTGTTATTCCGGAAGGATTGCCGGTGGCGAAGATATTTAGCACGATAAACTGTTACAAGTAATGTAAAGAGTATTGTTAGCGTTCGGCAGGACTTGAGGAGATTCCTGGTAGGAATACCGATCGTTGTGAGATAAACTAATAGGCGCAGTCACCGCCCTAAATACCGGCGCTAGCGGAAAACTCGTACATTCCGCGATCTAACTGCACGTACATTCCGTGATCTCACTGCGCCGTCCAGACGGTGCCCTAATGTCTATCACTTAGCTACCGGATATGCATCGGTAGCCCCAATCTCCTAAAGTCTTCTTGCCGTTCACCACTAACCCACAGACTGTAACCCTTATATCGCGACCAGTCTCCTTGCCTTCATATTCTTAACAGTCTATCTGGATGATATCCTTATCTTCAGCCCAACAATACAAGATCATGTACGACATCTTCATTAAGTGCGCGACCGAATGGCTGGTCTCAAGATCGCAGCTAAGAAGTGCACGTTTGGCCATCAACGCGTGGTTTTTCTTGGTCATCTTCTTGACGGAGTACGTGGTGTCGTGGGACCTAACCCCGCCAACGTCATGCAAATTGCAGAACTTCCGTCTCCATCCAATGTTCGCGAAGTACGAGCTTGGCTGGGAGCTGTTGATTACTACCGGGAACGTATCCCTGGCTTCGGCTTGATTGCACAGCCATTGTATGCGCTACTTAAGCAGGGGACATCCTGGTGTTGGGGTCCAAGAGAAGAAGACGCTTTTCAAGAGCTACGTAATACTTTGCTACGGAAGCCTGTTCTCCGCGCACCTGATTTCTGACGCGTTCTTGGTCCAAGTCGACTGGTGCCGTTCTGCCGTCGCTGCATGCCTGGCCCAGCAGGACAACAAAGGAATACACCGTTCAGTTTGCTAGTAAGGCTATGACTGGCTCACAGCTGAATTACAGCGCGGCAGATGGAGAGGCCTACACTGCCTTATGGGCAATCAAACACTTTCATCCCTACTTGTACGGCACTCATTTTGTACTTACTCATCACGAATTTGATGACGGTTTGGTCTTTGCGCACGGCGGGTCTTTGGACTTTGCGCACGGCACGCTTGAGATCTTCTGGGAAAGCTGGCTCGATATGCGCTCAAGCTTCAAGCCTACGATTTTGAAGTAATGCATAAGGCTGGACGTAAGAATTCAAACGTGGTGAAGTAAGACCAGCAAAGCGCCGGACCCGCGTTGGGTCCTATTATTGTGGCTACCATTCACTGGTATATGAGTGTCGGTCATTTCCACACCATCCCGTGAGCGACACTCTCTCGCTACGGGCCTTCCCATGCCTCATCCCGGTCTCCCATTCTCTGGGCAACAGCCAGTGGGTATCGATCCGGCGACGCAATGCGCCATTCTGGGCTCATAACCTGTTCTGGGCTCATAACCTGTTCTGGGCTCATAACCTGTTAAGACCAGCAAAGCGCCAGACCCCCGTTGAGTCCTATTCCTGTGGGTACCATTCACTGGTATATGAGTGTCGGTCATTTCCAACACGTGGATGGTTTGAGCCGCTTGGGACATCTTTTTTTTTTTTTTTTAATGTTACAGAGTGGGAGGCTTCTGGGCCGCTTTATCACATTGTCAGTTCTAGATCATTTATCACCTTATAGCACCATCCACCACTACCACACTGCACTTCGCCATACGAACTGTAAGTCCAAGGCGGCGGATCCCAGCCTTCAGGGACCCCTCCTCATCCATTCACCCGAACACCCGAAGAGACGGAGGGTTCGGCAATCGCCACCAATCCAGCGTGCGAATCTGGTCCATCAACTGTGACCTCAACTCCACATCTCAGCAGCTAGCCATAATCTCGCGCTCCCGACTAATTCGGGGGTCTCCCCAGGGACATCTGATGGAGCCCCACCGTAATTTGCCTATGGAGATCGACCCCATTCCGGACCCACTTGAGGATGCCGCCATCTTGGCATCAGTGTTTTTTTCATTTATGCCGGTTAATTTTCCGGTCCGAACGGAGGAATAGGTTTTTAGTCGCAGGAATAAAGGTATTTCGAATCTGTAAGGCGCTGGGGGGGCTCCCCCCCCCCATGAGTTCGTGCAATCGCCGTGCAATCGCCGGGTTTGGGGAATGTCACAACACGCGCACACCAATCTCTCAAGCACTGATCGAATAGAGTTCGTTCACCATCGTTCGTCTTGCATCACGTTGAAAGATAACACTACACGACTTTCCAGGTTGCAGAAGTAATGATGCATAGCAGCAATGAACCGGAACCACCAAACGCAACCTGTATCCTGGCCCATCGCGATTGTATCCATATGAGGAACATTGATGTTTGGCCCGCTCGCTGTTGACAACCGGAGTGGCGTCATTGTCGTCGGCTGGCTGCAGCATTGCGTCCACATTGCCTACGACCCCTACACCGTCTTCATTAACGTCGCTAATGGCTTCAGTGAAATTTAGTATCTGCTTTAATGGCCTTCAATGCTTTGGGAGCTTCGGGTCCGAATGTTTTGCAGCGTTTGGTCCGGTCAGAAACAGTCCGATTCCTCGTTGACTTTCGGGCGTGAGCTTCCTAACAGTATCCATGGCATTAAAGTACTATGATATGTAGGTCTCCTGTAAGATTCTAGCGGCTTTGGCATGGACAGTCCATTTTTGGCTGGAGGAATGAACTTGTACGGTTGGAACATTATTGTTGGAAATGACCGACACTCATATACCAGTGAATGGTAGCAACAGTAATAGGACCCAACGGGGGTCCGGCGCTTTGCTGGTCTTAACAATTATTTATCCTTAACTTTCAGGACCACGGACATTTTTTTATTCGAAATTCGGAATATATTCCGCAAAGAAATAACGCTGAATCCCAACTACTAATTGCCCGAGCGTTGTCTCTCCTCTACTTAACGTTGGGGTATCGCAGCTTCTCCGTACCTTGTAACCGAGGCCAGGGGTCCTAATCCTCTCATCCTGGGGTTGGGTACCGGTCAGCCATCCTCTAATCTCAGCAGGGTGGACCACTTCCCTATCCAGAGTGGGGGTCATGTCCATATCCACATCCCGAGGGAAGGAGTCTAATCCACATCCAGTAAGGTGATAGTACCCTGAGCTCCCAAGTTCATGGGCGAGCTGAGGCGGCACATGAACAAGCCATACCTAAGCTCTAACCCCCACCGATTTCTGACCCCTGTGGCTCCCAATTGTGAGAAAATGACCGACACCTTTCTACCGTACCAGCAGCAGAACGGTGACAGAAGTAATGGGACCCGAGGGGTTCCGGGGTGCTGTTCAGGTTGACGTTGGTTTGCGAAGTGAAGAGAGGTTTACTCATAGATATCGACGACAGGGGTAGGTGTCTCGGCGACGTGATGCTTAGCTATTGCCTAGGGCTGATGCCCGCAGGACTGGAACTCCAGGTATGTATGTTGTTACAGGGTGGTTAACTTCGCCAGCGGCCCCCTTTCCCGGGGCAGTCCCTGCTCTCCCCTGCTAGAGGGGCACCCTAATCCGTCACCCCATCCGACTTCAGAATGTATTCGTTGAGTTCGGCAACTCACCACCAGCATCCAACCAAATCTAGCGGATCAACGGCGCATCAACTTAGTTCCTGGTCAGCTCGCAAGTTGATATTATCACGTCCTACACCGTCCATAAGATGGGGGGCCACCTCCCATTTCATCACTCCTCAAACACCCGAGGAGCCGGCAGGCGGATTTGAACCCGGGTCGACTGGGTCAACTGGGAGCAGAAGTCAGGCCTTAACCTCTGCCAGCCGCCTGCCTCCAGGTATGTATGTTGTTACAGGGTGTTTAAGCTCCACCAGCGGCCCCCTTTCCCGAGGCAGTTCCCTGCTCTCACCTGCGAGAGGGGCACCCTAATCCATTCACCCCATCCGACTTCAGAATGAATTCGTTGGGTTCAGCAACTCACCACCTGCATGCGCTGGTGCCAGCTGCGGTGGAGCTTACAAGGACTTGATCCATTCATTGATCCTGGCAAAGGTCGCAGTGTTATTACAAATGAGGTCCGAGTACCAAGGTGGGTTATTGGCAACAACGACCCTTCGCCGTCGTTCGGGGCATATGGATGCCATCATCGCCCGTATGTTGACGAAACGGTCCTCTCCCAACTCGTGTGGTTGTCGACCAGGGGATTTGACCCCGGGTCTGCGCCTGACTAATGGGGAAGACTTACCCCAGAACCTTATGGGGCTACCGATGCATATCCGGTAGCTAAGTGATAGACATTAGGGCACCGTCTGGACGGCGCAGTGAGATCACGGAATGTGCGTGCAGTTAGATCGCGGAATGTACGAGTTTTCCGCTAGCGCCGGTATTTAGGGCGGTGACTGCGCCTATTAGTTTATCTCACAACGATCGGTATTCCTACCAGGA